TTTTAAAAAAAAAAATTTTTTTTATTGTATTATTTTTACGTGTACCGTCAAATCAGATCTGACTGGTACAGGAGGAGATTGCCCCCTCCTTCTCCAGCAGAGCATCTGGTGGATTTGAACCGTGTACTTCTGGGATTGCAGTTGAACAGATGCTTTTGATTCAAATTCATTTTCTCAAAAAACAACAGCATACTGGACTAGTGTTAGATTGATTATATGAAAGCCCCTTTCCAGAGTTTACAGAGAATTATTATTTTTTTTAAAGTCTGGGTTATTTTCCTAAAAGTATTATAGTTTATATTCTTATATTTAAAACTGTGCCCTATTTTTGTTTCTAAATCAATGAAACACAGCCTTAATCTTGACTAATCCAAAAAGCATCAAAAGAAGGCAGAAAAAATTCACAGATATTAGAAAGAAGTGGCCAATATGGAACGATTTCAGGAAGTACCATATGATTAAGGAAGAAGTTCAAGCTGCACTGAAGGCACTGGCAAAAACCAAGGCCCCAGGAATTGAGGGGAAACCAACTGACATATTAATAAAAAAACATGCAGCCCTAGATGTGTTCATCAGGTTGTGCCAAGAAATCTAGAACATAGCTGGCCATCTAAGTGGAAAAGAACCACATTTGTTGCCATTCTCAAAAAAGGTGACCCAAGAGAAGTAAGAAAATATCAAACAAAATCACTATTATCATATGTAAGTAAAATCTTGTTGAAGAGTAATAAAAAAATGGCTAGAACAGTACATTAACAGAGAACTGCCAGAATTTCAAGTTGAATTTAGAAGAGGGAAAAAACCAGAGATATAAATTTTTAATCTGTGAAGCAGTCAAAAGGATCTTGGCTGAAAGCAGAGACTATGAGAAGGAGGACAGCTGACTTTCCAAAAGATATTAAATTGTGTGGATCACAACAAATTTTAACCAACATTATTAGAATGGGAATTCCAAAACACTTAATTCTGCTCATGCAAAAGCTATACCTACACCAAGAAGCTGTTGTCCCAACAGCTGTTGTCAGATGCTGTTGAGCTGGGAAGGCCTCAGTGACCCTAGGAACAACAGACCTGAAAAAAACACTACAAGGCTTAAATGTATACAAATAAAACAGTATTTTTTTTTTAAAAAGGTATCAAATATATTTTAATATACAAAAGAAAAAATGGGCATCAAGGCTGTGTTTAATCTCCATTAACTATTCAATAGGTATGCTGAATAATTCATTGAAGAATTATGGACTTTATGAAGAAGAATGTGGCATGAGGATCATAAGAAGCCTTAATAACATGTATTATGAAGGGAGCTCTAGTGGCCTAGTGGCAAGACGCTGCACTGCAATCCCAGAGGTACGCGGTTCACATTCACTAGCTGCTCTGCTGGAGAAGGAGGGGGCAATCTCCCCCTGTACCAGTCAGATGTGATTTGACGGTACACATAAAAATAATACAATAAAAATTTTTTAAAAAAATAACATGTATATGCAAGTGAGGACTTAAAGTGCTGGCTGCAGTTCAAAGACTACAGCCTTCAATATGGACTACAAAAAATCTGGTAGGCCTTGTAGACTAACTGAGCTGAGTGACAGAATACAAGATCAACTTATAAGTAACATAAGCAACAAGAGAAAATGCTAAAAAAACCCACAAAAAGCAGTATAATTTATAATAGCCAAGTACAAGAGAAAATACTTAATAAAACTCACTAGACACTAAAGATCGATAAGAACAACTACAAAAACCTATTCTAAGAGACAAAATTAAATTGAAAAATATCCCATAGTCATAGATGGGAAAACAACATTGAGAAAATGATAATCCTACCAAAAGCAATCAACAGGTTAACACAATCCTGATACATGTACCAACCTCACTCTTCAAGGAGATGAGAGATGAAGAAAGGGCAATTTCCAATTTGGAAAAGAAAGAGACCTAAGGTCTTCTGAAAAACAAAAATGAAGTAGGAGGCATCTTACTTCCTGATCTCAAAACCTACTACAAAGCCACAGAAATAAAAACAGCATGGT